TGCTCACCTGCAATTTATAATGGCGCATTGTAGTCATCTTCGTGCACTAAAGTTCGTTAAATCTCAGCTGCTCAACATTTTCAGTTATTTGCTGTTGTATAGCCTCTTCTCAAAATGCAAATGATCTGTTAACTTTATTTTCAAAGAATAGTTTGTTTTGTTATTGTTTGGTTGGTGTTTTATATGAAACAGCGACATTGCGCAATTTATTGGACAGACTTGTTTAAGATCACACAGCGTAATTTGGGTGGCATTTTATTTCGTATTTTTAAATCATCTTTTTATTTTTGACTGTCTGTAAATTTAGTTTCCTGCTCTTAATTGTGAATGCATACTTGATGGTTTTAAATGCTCCTGAAATTAAGTGCTGCTTGATGAGCCTATACAGCACAGGTGTCATACTCAAGGCCCGGGGGCCAGATCTGGCCCGCCACGCCATTTTATGTGGCCCACGAAAGCAAATCAAACATGTCCACTTCCATGATGCTTGCTAAAATCTCGACCAAAATTTAAAATTCTCATATTTAATAAATTAAGAGACATATTGTAAGCATTTTCTTGTGATCAAACCCCTCATTACAGAAACTTAAACAATAGTTGAATAAACTGTTTTTATTGACTTTTTTATATGGTTTCAGTCATAACGGCCCTCCAAGGGAAACGATAACTAAAATGTGGCCCGCGACAAAAATGAGTTTGACACCCCTGCTATACAGTATTGTGTTGATGTATGTGACGTCACTGAAGGCCTAAGGTTGAAATGCACGGCCCGCCACTGGTAAAAACATTTCAACACACTGAAAGAAAATACAGTGATCCCTCGCCATATTGCGCTTCCTTTATCGGGGCTTCAGTACATCAATGTGTATCACACAACATCTAAAAGCATTAACAAACAGAGCAAAGAGAACAAAAGTAGCTTATTAAAAGAATGAACGCTGACATAATTGAAGTACATTTGCAACCAAAAGATTCAAAGACATTTTAAAAGCAAAGGCAAGAAGTAAAAATTCACTTTCTGACAGATCGACCAATGTGCACATACAGTAATTGCCATAGGCCTGCCAAAAACACAGAAAGTAGAAAAACACAAGAAGGTATTAAAAAGATCACTGTATTGAGGCGACCATTTGCCACCCCATCTCAATGTGTTCTTTTTCCTTCTAGGGTTCAATGTGGTTATTAACGTCGATCCAGCAACAGGCTTTGTCCATGGAGGAAACCGCTTTAACTGTGGTACCTGGATGGATAAAATGGGAGAGAGTGAGAGAGCAAGAAACAAAGGCATACCGGCTACTCCCAGGTAACAGAGAAATACTCATCACACATCAATTTGCTAAAATAGGTGGGTGTGAGACCACTTTTTTCTCTTTATCGATGTGCGTTAATGTTGGCATGTAATTCTCAAAAAAATAAAAATTAAAAAAATCTAATTCTGAAAGATGACAAAACTGTTACCCTAGTGCAGGGGTCGGCAACCCAAAATGTTGCCATATTGGACCAAAATAAACAAAAACAAATATGTCTGGAGCCGCAAAAAATAAAAAGCCTTCTAATGAAGGCAACACATGCTATATGTATCTATATTAGCCTGCTATCAACATGACTAAGTTGGCCACAAATACACAACGGGCATTCATGATTCAACGTTTTTTTTCACCTGCAGTTCATCCTGTAGAGGAGGTTGTCCAAACTTTTTTGACGGAAGATCTAATTTTCGAACAACCCGTTACCGCACACACTTATGCTCGCATGCCGTAATGAGCAACAGCCGTAACGTCCGCTAAAATGAACGAGGCACGGGGACGCACAATTGCAGTACAAACTATTGTAACTCACGTGTACCCAGGCACCTCGTTACCTCTGCGTCCCGCGTCCTAGACGCATAATTTTCCCGGGGGACGCACAGTTCCAAATAATGTGCATTTTTGGGACGCAAGGAAATTTATCAGTCAAAACAAAAAAAAACTACGGTAAATCCTTTTTTCCAGCAACGATCGCAGTTTGACCATCGCCACCATTGTTGTTTTGATCTCGCATTAAGTAATCTCACGTGACGAGATTTCCGTTCTCGCAAGATGAGATTGGCGAGATCGGGCTTCACCTCACGGGAAGCAGACGATTGGTAAGTTGTGTAATGTTAAAACAAGTGTTGCGTTTATTATGAACAAGTTTATTGCGGAGATATCACAGAGGAAGCAGCTAAAGTTGAATAGTTTTTTGCGATAATAAATTGACTTTGAGAAAGCCTTGCATCATTGGAAGCAGAGAAAGAGAGGAGAATTTATGAACTCTAAGAGTGAACCACGGGATGAAATAAGAAGCTATTTCTCAGCAAATCTTGTATGCCTGAATGATTAAAATTTTTGCAGCATTCGTTTATAAGGAATACACCTATTATCAATGTATATTGTTGTTGTTTGTGTTATTATCATAGGCAATTGAATCAGTAGACCATTTCAGAATTCGAAATTTGGGACTCTCTAAATGCGTAATGGGACTCATACTTTTCTGATCAGCGAGTGCCTGGGACAAACTGTAAAATGATCACTGTGTACCGTTTAAAAATGCTTCTCTTGGCCGCCCAGATTCCCATTCTTAGCAAGTACCCTCGGTGAATTGTACATGAAAGGCAGTTGTTTTTTTTTTGTTTTTTATACAACAGCCCCCCCTGACTGACATCCTGCCCTGCTAATAGAAACGTGTGTCTCATTCTATGACGCAAATATTCGTTGACGAAATGTTGACATTAAATATTTATTCGACACATTTTTACAACATCGGAGATGTGAGGCAAAATGAACACAAGCCACAGGACGCACTTTCGCAACGTGCTAACTATCGTAGCTAACATGTACCGTTTAAAAATGCTTCTCTTGGCCGCCCAGATTCCCATTCTTAGCAAGTACCCTCGGTGAATTGTACCATGAAGGGCAGCTGTTTTTTTTTTTTTGTTTTTGTTTTTTGATAGCAGCCTCCTGACTGACATCGCGCCCTGCTAATAGAAACGTGTGTTGCAGGCTATGACGCAAATATTCGTTGATGACATGTTGACATTTAATACTTATTAAATGTCACATTTTTACAGCATCGGAAAACGTTAATAATGTTTGTGTCATGTTTGTCCTCTGACAGAAACCATATTAAAACAAAAAAATATATTTCCCTCCCATCTTTTTCCATTTTCAAACATTTTTTTAAAAGCTTTAGGGAGCCCCTGGGGGCGCTAAAGAGCCGCATGCGGCTCGAGAGCCGCGTGTTGCTGACCACTACCCTCCCTAGTGGGTTACTCTCTATTCGCTGTGTCAATTACTGTCAACTGAAGTTGAACAGATGATGGGTGAAGCTATAGGACCACGAACCCAAAAGACAGAAATAAATCAAGGGATAGCTTGCATCGAAAAGAAAAGAAAAAAAAAAGTGTCACTTCTGGAGTGACCCAATTAGAGTCCTGATCAGAAGACGATTGAAATTTGGTTGCATATTAGAGTTAAGCATTTAAAAAAAACACCTCAGTTTCCTTTCCCCCACTTTTTAGAATTAAAAATTGCCCAAAAATCTTTCATGATTACTAATGTAAATCTGCGATGCTATGTGAAATTCTCTCTGCAGAGATGGAGCAGCTGTGGAGATAATTGGTCTCAGTAAGTCAGCCATCCGCTGGATTGTGGAGCTACACAGCAAAGGGCTGTTTCCTTATGATGGAGCGAAAGTTCACAGAAATGGTATCAAGCACACATTACAGATAAACATTTAGATTTGTTATCCCATTTTGTTTCATTGTTTTGTTTTGACGATTTCTACAAGAACAACATGATCGTGTTTTTTCTGCGGTCGTACACTCAACTCAACTGTATTTATAGAGCACTTTCAAACAGCCATTGCTGCATACAAAGTTCTGTACATGGAGCAACTATCATATACACAACAATAAAACAATAAATCAAGAACAAAGACGGTAAAAAGCATCAAATGGTAAAACTAAGATAAAGTCTGAGTCATGCTGAGTCAAATGCGAAGGAATTCAAGTGAGTTTTGAGGCAATTTTTAAAGATGGACAGCGACGCAGCTTGCCGAATGTTCAGTGGGAGGTCATTCCAAAGAAAGGGACCAGCAACGGAAAAGGCTCGATCCCCTCAGAGCCTCCGCTTAGTTCTTGGTACTTCTAATAATGTCTGGTCCGCAGACCTGAGGCGCCGGCCAGGTGTTTAGGGGCGGATGAGCTCAGAGAGGTAAGGTGGCGCGAGGTCATCTAAAGATTTGAAAACAAATAATAGGATCTTGAAAAGAACTCTAAAATGTATAGGGAGCCAGTGAAGGGATGCCAGAGTAGGAGTTCTGTGCTCCCTCTTACGAGTACCAGTCAAGAGGCGAGCAGCGGCATTCTGGACCAGCTGGAGATGCTTAATGGAGGATTGGCTGACTCCAAAGTAAAGTGCATTGCAGTAATCGAGCCGGGATGTGACAAAGGCATGAATTACTGTCTCAAGGTGCTCATGAGAAAAGAGAGGTTTTACTTTAGCCAGCTGTCTAAGATGAAAGAAGCTGGATTTAACAACGGCAGGAATTTGCCGGTCAAGTTTAAAATCACTGTCCAGTTTAAGACCCAAGTTTGAGACTGTTGACTTCAGATAAGGAGACAGGGGGCCCAAGTCTACAGGATGGGATGTACAAGGGCCACTTGGACCAAACAGTATCACCTCTGTCTTCTTATCATTGAAATTCAAGACATTTTGTGCCATCCAGGTTTTGATTTCTTCCAGGCAGGATAAAAGTCACTGACCCTACTCCAAAAAGTACATTATCTTTAAAGTTTGAATCAACATTTATATCTCTTAAAATGGAAAGAAAAGCAATTAACTTATAAACGAATGTCTTCATTTACAATACAATACACTCTTCTCCACTGTCAACAAACTCCTCAAACCCAGCGACAATATTTCAACCTCATTCACGGTTGACAAATGCAATTCATTCCTATCCTACTTTCAATCCAAAATCGACATCCTCTACAGTTCACTCACCACCCCACCCGTCCCCCCTCCGTTCCTACCACCATCCATCACTTCAACTACTTCACCTCTCTCTGAATTCACACCTGTCTCCATAGCCGAACTCACCAATATCATCTCAACAATGAATTCCTCCACCTGCACACTGGATCCCATCCCATCTTCCTTCGTCAAGCACTGCTTTCCCACCATCTCCCACCTCGTCATGAACATTGTCAACTCCTCCCTCAACTTTGCCTATGTCCCCTCCTCACTCAAACTGGCTGCTGTAACCCCCATCATCAAAAAACCCGGACTCAACCCTGACATCATGAGCAACTTTCGACCCATCTCCAACCTCCCCTTTCTGTCCAAAGTCATAGAACGTGCCGTCACATCTCAAATTAAAACCTACCTAGACAACAACCAACTTTTTGAACAATTTCAATCTGGATTCCGCACACAACACAGCACTGAAACAGCCCTCCTTAAAATCACCAATGACCTCCTCCTCGCCTCTGACTCCGGCCTACTCTCCATCCTCATCCTTCTTGACCTTACAGCTGCCTTCGACACCATCAACCATTCCATCCTACTCTCTCGCCTGCAATCCCTAAACATCACCGACAAAGTCCTCACCTGGCTTCACTCATATCTCACAGACAGGAAACAATTCATACACATCAACAACTGCTCTTCCAACACTGCCCCACTGTCCCAAGGTGTCCCCCAGGGTTCTGTGCTTGGTCCTCTTCTCTTCATTCTCTACCTTCTACCCCTCGGCCAAATCATTCGTC